AAGTTGAATTTAATTTCCCTGGCATATGAGGAGTTGGATTACTTTAGCAGTTGCAGCACTAAGCAGGCAAAAACCAGGAGTCGTCTTCTAACCATATTCCATCTCAGGGCAGCTTGGGGCCAGTAGAGAAGAAAATGGCCTAGAATGATTGGTAGAATTTGGGAGAAAGATATGGCCAATGGCATTCTGAAAGAGAGTGGTTTGAGGGTGCATGAGCTGAAAGGGTGAGTGTCCCACTTTTTCCATAATGGGACCTGAGAATGTCTCAGAGAAGTGTAAGAGTAAGCAAAGGAGAGAAACTTTTAAATAGCTGGGACAGGGGACTGTACGAAGATGAGAACAGTCTTTGGAGGCTTTGATAATTATTTATTTTCTAAAGGAAACTGTAATAGAGCTTAATGCATTGATGTGCTTGTAGAAATGCTAATCTGGATGCAACAAAATGCAAGGAAAATAAAAGTAGAATTTCAGGTTTCAAATTATTTTATACCTCCTACAGAAAGAAGAAAATAATTTATATCCAATAAACAGCTAGAATAAATAACTGTTATCTTATTTGTGAACTGATTGTTGAGATGTCCTCCTTTTCCTGGCAGAGCACCCAAAGTACTTGGAGAAAAAGCCAGCAGTTCTGTTACTTCACCTATATTCTCCTCTACAGAAACTTCTTTCACTGCAGTGGTTGCCATGCATTACAATGACTGTGTCAGTTCAAGTGCATGCTTGTGAAATGGTGTTTATTATTTTGGGGTATTCTAAGTAATATTTCACTGTTAAAAGGGGCGAATTATGTTACTGAGTGAAATCTTGTGTGCTGATTTGATTTGTATTAAAAATAAAAAAGATACTGACTCCAACCAGCAAAAGCACAGGCATGCTGCTTCTGTGCTGTACTGTCCGGTCACTTTAGTGCTGTTTTCCTTGATAGAAATAGAAGTGTGACTACACAAACACAGTGAACGTAATTCTGCATTTATGTAATTGAGTGGACAGGCCTAAAATATGTAACATTTTTCTGTTTAGTCAAAGAATATTAGCTGCTTTTAGGGTTCATTCATCGATGTGCGTTCTCTCACATATTTGACACTCTATTGTTCATTTTTATGAACGAGTTATTAAAAAGTTGAAGATTTAACATAACAAAATATAATATAGTGTTTATAGTCTTTGTGCAGGTAGATGAAATGGTCTTACTGAGATAAAAGCTTGTTCAGTTTAATTCCTGTTATGTCTCTGTACGTAGAAAGGCACACAAAAAGCTGCTCATATCACAGCTGAAAAGTTTCATTGTTCGGTTTGTTTTTCATTTCAGTTTGTTTTTCATTATGCAGAAATTCTTAAATTGGATCATTTTCAAAGAGGGAACTTAACCATAAATGCAGTCCTGCAGCTGTGTGAAAATATAACTTGCATTTGTATTCATTTCTCACACTTTGAAGGTAACTTTGGAGAATTCAGCTTGAATTTATATTCTAAACAGAATCCCATTGTCCTGAAGTGAAGTGAGAAACCAATCTGGTTCTTCCTGTTTTGCTACATACTTCCCCTTTTGGATTCATACGTTTTAGTTCTTCTATATGTTTTCAGAGCAGAAATGATTTTGATAAAAGCTTCATGAATAGATTGAAATCACAGAATCATAGAATGGTTTGGATTGGAAGGGCCTTTGCCTTTTCTTCTGCTCAGGCTTTTAAACACAAGTAGTGGTGAACTGTGTAGGGTTTATTCTTTTCAATACACAATCATTAAACTAGTGCTTTCAAATCAGTTCTCAAAAGTTTGTCAGCATTTTGGGAATATTAAGTTAGTAGATAGTTGGCTGAAAAATTAAGTGCTCTGAAATTACAAGCAACAGCTACTTATTTTTTTGAGATACAAGAGAATATTAAAGTAAAATCTTTTGTCTACAGTCAAATAAGCATTCTAGCAGTGATTTTGATTTGATCGTAACATGTTCATTACATTGAAAATTACTTAATTAGGTTAGGAAGTGGATTATTTCAGAAAAACATGGGCATTTGAAAGGAAATGTAGTCATTTGGAATTGATTTTTAAATTGATCAGTGAATGAGCTTAAGAGTCGTCCTTTCAACTTTCTGTAACGTGATCTTAAAACACTGTTCTGTAATTATATGTCCTATGTTAAGGTATTTTCAGTAGTAGAAAGTAGTGTCACTAGGGTACAGCATGATAATTTGGGACAAACAGACACAAAAGTGTATTTGGCAGCTACAGATTTTATTGATTTCCCATTAAAAGAACATAAAGGAAATTGTGGATACACTGAAGGAATAGTCCTAATTACTTTTAAAACAAATTCAAAGCATCCGTCTCAAGTTGCTGGATTTGGTATTATTTCAAAACTTTGTCTACAAAGGTAATTGTTCTCTGTCATTCACTGTGCTGAATTTGTATGATCTGCATTTGATTTAAATGAGGATCACTGTGTGCCTTGTGGGACTAGACTGGAATAAGTTTATCCAAGCAGTTTTATATTTAGGATTTACTTTGTTTGATTTCCCAACTGAATTTGCATTAAGTGTATTGAAATACCTTGGCTTGTGAATAATATTCCCTGTTGAGATAATAAAGCTTTAAATGTGTACTACATCATGAACTTTAATATGCTTTTCATACTCTGTGTTATGATTGTAAATAAATTCAATATGGCACAGGGCTCCAAATGTTGCATTTTCATTTCTTACTTTCTAAAAGAAATCAAAATCTATGTACACAGAAGAAGAGAAAGAAATGCTTTAAACTGGTTTAGCTAAGAAATTAATCTATGATTTTGCAGTCCTAAAGAATTTCAATTACAGTGTACTGAATTCCTTAATTAGTTAACTGTGGGTTACAGCTTAACAGGTAATATTAAACTGCATGATTCACCAAATCACATGTGCAAAGATAACTGCTTAGTTAAATTAGGAATTCCATATTAAATAACTTGGTTAAAAATAATTTAAGCTTTTTTGTTATCCAGACTCCCCATGAGGAAGCTGAAATACGGATCTTTGGAATGTGTACAAAATTTCAAAAAATATGGTGGTTGAAGCAAGAATAGGCAGGGAGAGAAATTAGAGCTGGATGAATAAAGACTATTTAGTGTTGTTTTTACTACATTAATTTTATTGAAATTATGCAAAATACTTACATTTCCTATTTCCCTTCATTTTTCTTCAGAGGTGTGCTGAATCATTAATACAGATGGCCCTATAGGTATTGAATGATCTTTAAGCTGGTTTTATTTTCAAAATGAAAAAGAATTCTCAATGCTTCTTGTACTCATTATAGTGGTTCCATCATTACAATCTCTGAATTCTTGTTACCACAATTACTTGAATTTTTGTTTACGTATGCATTTATAATTCACACAATACCCTGACTGTCTTGTATTCTTAGATGTGCTAATTTTGGAATTGTGGTACTAATTTTTTGTCATCATCATGAAACATGATGAAGTACAATAGTAACAAAAATAGGCTTGTTATTCAAGCGAATCCAATACTATGAATGTATGAATATATTCGACAGTGAAGTATTATAACTAATATTAGTTATATTAGTGGTGGCAGAAGTGGCATGGTATCTGCATGGTATAATTTATTGCGTGTTGTTGCTAGACAGGATCCTCCTATAAATTTGAGAAATGAGGTGTCTGTAGAGATAAGAGGACTTCTTAAAGACCTAACCAAAGGGAGGCTGCACAAGCTGCTTTTGTGGGAGAGGACATTCACTTGACATCACTGGATCTCTGAAATACCTTGAGTCTTTAGTAAAATTTTGGGTTTTTTCCAAAGATTTGGCAAATCTGTAGGAGAATGACCATGTTAGTGTTTCAGTCATCAGGAAAAGCTCCAATTCAGTGTTGGAAATGCCCACATCAAAATCCAAGTTTCATTTTTTCCTAGTATTCACAAAAACGTAGTTACTGCCCACTCTTCGTGTGATGGTTGTTGGTGTTGCTTTTCTACATAAGTGTTTTCCTGATAGGTGCCTTACATCTCAGTAAATTACTGGGTTTTGTTGGAGAAGCAAGGCAGTGCAGTGTCATCAGTACTATTCCAGCTTAATTTGTGATGCAAAATGCAGAGGTTATTAACACACACATGAGAATGAATGAGCTACAGATTCCACAGACGCAGCCAAGGAAAAGGTCACTCTGGATGTTGAGTTCTGATGTTTGGTTTATAGTTTCTGGCTCCTGCTATTTCAGCATTGTTTTGAACTGTGGGCTCATTTCTGTAGAAGAAAGGTTATTCCCTAGTAATCAATAAAATCTCAGCTTTCTGTAAGTACATTTCACTTCTGCACAAAATTTTCCTAGAGAACGTGAATATTTAGCATGTAATTGGTAATATGCTCATGAAATAGTTGAGTAGCAAACAAAATCAGAATCACAAAAACTACAGCTGTGTTAAATTATACTTAATGTCCTGTATAAGCAGAGAGAATGAACTGTGTTTATTTCCCAAACAATAACATTTCTAGATGAGTTTTTAATGTAATTTTTTTAGAAAGTAAATTAAGTTTCATACTTTGGATAAAATTGTTTTGCAATTCTGATGCTACAGAGCTAATTTACTAAGTTGGGAAACTGCGCTGAGTACATAGAAATCAATTTTATAGCGGTATCAAAATTTTTTATGTGGTCACTGGCTAGTAGGATATGCTCGAAACCATGGTAACAAAAAGTGCTAATATGGTTGCCCAGGAGTCATGTTAAAGTGAACAAGCTGTGTGTGTCTTGATTAATATAAGAAAGAGAGGAAAAAAAGAGAAGGAGAGGGAGGAAGGAGAGAATCAGATTAATGACCTGTACAAGACAAACAACAAATGTACAGTGAGAGATGTATCTATGGACAAGTGGTCATGGAACTTCTGGTACCATTGCATCATGAATGTGGAGGTGTTATCCACAAAGCTTTAAAGTGTAAAGGATACATATTACCTCAATGGTTTGTCTTTAAATTATTTCATTTCCTGTCTGTATTTTGCAGGTTTATATTAGGATAAAGGATGATGAATGGAATGTTTATCGAAGATATGCAGAGTTCAGAAGCTTGCATCATAAATTACAGAATAAATACCAGCAAGTGAGGACTTTTAACTTTCCACCAAAGAAGGCCATCGGAAACAAGGTACTTAAAAGAACTCGTAGTATAAGTAAGAGTTGTGGAAAAAACCTTTCCTGTCCACACAGGCATAAAAAGAGGTGACTGTCATAAATATTTTTTACACCTGCTAGACAGTACCTGCTATTTTTATACAGACTTTGCCCTCATCAGCTGCAGATTCACTGATAATGTAGTTAATGCATTGATTTTTCCACTCACTGAAAAATAAACTGTTCTTATAAATTAAATATTAATGACATACACAGTAGACATATGCACAAAACCCCAAAAACTGTACTGGACAGCTCCACATCTAAAATGTAATCTCTACTCCGTTCTTTTCAGTAAAGGCCAGCAATTAACACTGGTCAGTAATTCATTAAATATTTCAGTAAATTTATAAAAGCATCAGTCTAAGTTCCTTAGATTTCCTGTGCTGTTCAATGACTGCTCTAAGTTTTTTGAATCAGCTTTTTAAAGGCATTTGTGTGCTTAATTTCCATGATCTGCATCTTTGTGTTTTAGCTCTCCCATTTTAAAATGGGAATTTCTGCCTTTTCCAATCATATAGGGATTTTGCAATCAATACAGTAAATATTGTAGTATGTATGTAGTAAATACATAGTACCATGTAGTTTAGTCCTTAATGACCAAAACCTTAAAGTGTTCAAGAGCTTATACACATTGCAGTATACATCACAAATCCAGTAAGGTTGAGAAGTAATCAAAGTAATTTTCCCTTGCTGTGCAGGAATGATCTGAAAAAGTTTTTTAAGTATCACAAATAAAATACTTGAGAATTATATCATGCTCATGACTAAAAACATATATACTAAACCACTGGGCGCTTCAATCAGCATTCCTAGTGTTAATCAAAGTTTTTAGCTTGGTTTTGCTCTGTAAAAGTGAGTTAGGTCAGCTTGGCACATGGGATAGGAATTGAGTAGTAATGCACATGATCTGGAATAGGCGGTGATATAAATATATGTGGAATTTATCAATAAAACCTCTAGGTCTGTTTGCTTGGCATAAAGTTGGGAGTTAATGTAGTTCTTTGCCTACCAGCCTCGTAGATGAAAGTATTTCTGAGAGCTTTTCTGCCTTTTTTTTCAAATGCTAGATGATTTTCAGTTTTCATTTCAAGTGGATAGTTTTGTAATAGAAACAATGTGTTTTTGTCTTTGTTACCTAACTAATGAAGTGATGGAGTATCAGCCACTTCAATAAATTACAAAAGCCTTCTTTTGAGCTTTTCTTGATAGTCTTTTGTCCTTAATTACTTTAAATACTAATTGAATTACAACTTCAGTTGCACAATTGATGCACACAGAAATTATCAGTTGAGCAACTCATTAAAAAATTTGCATTGCTTATTCCTTCAGTGCTTTAGCTTTGGGCCAAAATTATACCTTAATCGTGCATAAACCCACAATCACTTTCTGTCATATCAGATCTCAGTAAAAACATCTTTTTTTTACAGTAAGAAATAGGTGCTATCCATTGCACCTCTGAAAGACTCCTATGATAAGACATAAGCCAGTTGTGTAATTGGAATTGAGTTATCATGTTTACGGGTACCTGCTGTAAATCACTTGCAAGTTGCAAAGTGGCGCTTTCAGATCAGCTTTGCATGCTCTTACCTCAGGTTGTGGCGCAAGAGCACACTGTGTCGGCAAATGCTTGTCCTTGTAGTGGTGCTGTTTTCTATACCATGTCATAGATGTATTGCATTTAGGAATATCACGTGTCTTTATGCATGTTTATGAGGGATTTGTGTAGGCTGTTACATGTGCAAATGTTTGGTAATAAGCATTAGAAGAAATACTGTCAATACTACCTTTCTCAATACTGTTTTTTTAACATCAGTGGCTACCAAAGCATGTTCCATTTTAGATATGCTGTTAGATCTAAAAAGATCTTTTTTCCTCTCTGACAGAGAATTGCCGTGCTTTTCCTATTTCTAGATTAATCAATACAATCTTAAATCAGTGCTTAAAGAGCAGTTTCAGTAGCTAAATTCTGCTAACAAAAGATTCTCTATTGAGTTTACATCAATATGTGATTTTTCAGATCCTTTACAAATCCTCATTGTTATTAGAGGCCCACATAACATATTGGTAAATCATAGTCCTCTCTGTAAGTGGCTAAAAATGAGTGTTTTACAGTTTTTGGAAAACGGTGTTGCGTGCTTTTATATTCTTCAGGTCTGTACCTGAATGATGTTATTAATTGCCTATCTTCAGTACATGGTGAGGCTAATGAAGGTATATGTGTGTATATATATGCTTGTTCTAAATGTTAGGGGCATTGAAAGAGGGTTGTGCTGTAATTGATAAGTCCCTCGATACCAACACTACATTTGGCATTAAATGTCTCAGATGAGGGAATCTCCAAGCCCGCAAGAGGACACTGTGTCTACAGCATGACCTAGAGCCACTTCTGCAGAGTCACAAGATATATCCCCTGTTTTGCTTTGCAGTATATTGGAGCTCTGAGGAGGGAACTTGACTAGAAGAGAGTAATGGAGAAAAAACACTTATGGAAAACTATTAATTTTCATGCATAATTTTCCTGCTTACTGCAGTAGAAGTCAGGGAGATCAGATTCAAATGCAAAGTTGCAGAGTTTGACACATGGAAAATGAAAAAAGAAGCAAAATTCCAAGTCAATGAAGGTTCTAAAAAGTGAGAAAATCAAGTATTTATTATTGCATATATATTGTGATCAAGTAGGAATGAAATCTGGAAATATTTAACAGTTGTAAAGCAATAGATTAAGAATAATACTTGTATTAATTCTAGTTATTGTTTTTAATGGGGTTTTTTGCCTTTCATTTGTTTCTCTTAACTTGGGACAATTTATCTTAACAGTTCATCTTCATGATCTTTCAACAAATGTAGGATTAGAAACCAGCTTTAGTGCATGAGGAAACATAATTTAAATATACAGAAAACTAGTTAGAAAAGGAACAGAGAAGAGGCAGTAATACTGCTTTGGACAAGTAACCTTTTCTCAGTTATGAAGAAGAGGGTGTATTTGCCTTTCAGGTTGGTAACCTTATTTTCAGTGTACAATTAACATTTGACTGTAGTAAGTTAGAACTAATGTAAAGCAATGAGAAGAATAATTTGATCTATAAATCTTGCTTTGTATCAAGTCAGAACAGATAATTACTGAAGGAAAATATAACAATAATGCTTGCAAGACTCCATGTATTAAGTTTCATCCATACTACTCCTCATGCTGTGTCTTTTCTGCAGTGCTGGTAGCAAATAGTTATCAAAATCTGTATAAGTAGGCTATCCAAGAATAAGTCTTCTTCCTTCAGTTTACAGACAAGAAAGGTATTTGTTCTTTTTTGTTGCATGTATAAGAGAAACGCTATTTTATATGTAGGTATATATACCAAGACTTGTAATTTCAAACTATGGTTTTCTTGCACAGATGTTTGTCTTTTAGCTAGCCTTCAGGTACTTGGGATCTTTTGAGTTCATACTTCCATTATCACGGTTTGTCTTTGTGACTCCTGCCTTCCTGTCAGGTTCCTAATGTCCAAAGGACTGGTTTGGTGCCATGAGCCAGCACACTCTACATCTAGAGTGTGTGCGCCGAGTTATGTGAAGCTCATGAAGAGAAGCTTCATACGATTATGATACTTGATTGCAAAGGGATATCTGTGTGCTTTTGCATAGAGGTATAGTTTAATTTTGTTCATTCAGGACGCGGCCTCACGTTTAGCTTCTGAACCTTTGTTGGTGCTGTTTTGGTGTCTCACCTCTTCAAGTGTTGCTTTCAGAATAATGGTTAAGTAATAATATGTGAGTATTTACTGGACCTGTTATTCTAAATTTTCGAATATTGCAATGTCCTTAAAATCTCAGTTGCTACTTTTGCATCATACAGATTCTGACACTCAAATAATGGATTATAGTAACAGAGTAAACATCTAATTAAGTATCCTCTTGCAAGGGTATTGTCCCAGTAGAGGACATAGCAAAATAGAAATGGTTCTTTGCTTCCATTGAAGATGTGAATTCAGTGATTGTCTGAGTGTGTAGAAATTGAATAAGGTAGCTTTCCCCTAAGTGCTGACTGCATTCCTTCTTTGCTTTCCTTTACAACATCGGATACCTCACGTGGAAAGAATACACAGCATTTTTCTGAGATTAGAAGAGAGTGGCTGTGCCATGACTCCTCAACTACATGGGAGCAACAACAGAGAAATCTAAAATAAGTTTTCTGTCTAGGAGAAAATGTTGAGAGCAACATCGTTGATAATTTTTAGCCCATGCAGATGAAGTCTGTGAACTGTTTCTCTGTCCATAGCTTGTTTCATGCCCAAATGTTAGTTCAGTAAAGTAAACGTGTCCCTTTCACCTATCAGTGAGTAAGCTAAATTGTAGGGGATTTTGTGTATGTAATTATTCTAAATTATTTTAAGTTTTATGTGTATGTATCTTAAAAAAGTGCCTGTTTTTATATGCATATACACACATGTGTACGCATATGACGGCATTGAGGATATATATATGACGTTGGATTCTGGAATGTATCTTGTAATTCTGCCAGTTGGATTTCCCAGGGATTTTATCTTTCTCCTATTTATGTCAATGAAAATAGTGCCTTTGCACTAACAGTGCAGATGGCTTCCTTCGTTTTTTTCCCCCTCCCGCCAGCATAGCTGCTTTTTTATCAGTGTCTGGTCTGCTTGCCTGTTGCTGAAGATAAGGAAGACTTTGACAGTCTGCAGGATAACCATTTTAGGATTAAAAGGTGTAGAAGGTAAAGATTTTATTGCAAACAAAACAGAAAATAGCTTGTCTCTTATGCTTATAATGTTTACTGTTTTGTTTTTTTTTTTTAAGTTTACCAAGTAAAGACCTGTCTGTCTGTGTGTGTATATATATAATGTGAAGTAATTGGAAACCATTCAAATTAGACTTTGAATTTTAATGTTTTTGCTTTTAAGGGTTTCACATTATGCTGTTGATGTGTAACCCCTGTTACGTTTTTCCTTACTGTAA